GGCGGGCCTGCGGTGGGACGCAAGGGCACGGGCGGAGGCTGCCCTTTCGCGGGCATGGCGAAGGGCGGAGCAGCGCCAGCCGAGGCAAGCGGCGGCGACAAGAAGAACGACTGAAGGGTGTCTAATCAGCCATGGGCTGCCAACTGTGTCCCGAGATTTCACCTTGACAAACGCCACATGTTAACGCTATGCTGTGCGCTGGCGGCCATGGGCCGTTTCAGGCCTCGTGGATGGCAGGGCAGGGCAGTGCAGGGCGGGGCAGTACAGTGCATTCCTGAATGGCCTGGCTGCCCTGGGCGTTTAGGGAGCACTCACGCATACATTTATATGCCTCTTGGAACCTTGCTGGCGTCTGTAGCTGAATTTGGGATCATTAGCGCCGGCATTTTATTTCAGTCCCCACATTATTTTTACTTCCATGACACGGCAGGATGATTAGTCAGCGCATGGTAACCTGTTACACGCTGGTCGTGATGCTTTGACTTACATGTTCCCCTTTGCACCTGGGCCAAGTCGACACAAAAAGGTTTTTCAAAATTTTAACACAGCATGACCAGCCACCTGCTGCACGGGGTGCTTGATGTCTGCAGGAAGGGGCCAAAACCAACTGGGTGACCAGGTGCGTGTTACTTGACTGCAGCCAGCCAGCCAGCCTGCACAACCTTTCCTCAATGCATGCAGGCCAACTTGCAACCTAGGCCTACTTAAAAGGTAGGCATGTCCCTGCTGCAGCGCAACAAAATCAGTATGTCAGGGGCGCCTCCACCCCGGGGCCCTTGTAACTAATGCTGTGTGTACTGTAATGAAAACCTGGCCACAACTCTGGAGAGGCTCCAGTGCACACATGCATCTTGATCATGGGCACCCTGGCGGGCTTGCCAGCCGCACCACCAGGCTACTTGCTCACGTTTGAGTGATGCTGAGCTGAAGCTTGAGCCATTTCTGGCCTGCTGTGATCAAGCTCTAGTATGCTGTGGCAAAGCAGGAGCTCAAAAGGAGCCGCTCGCCGCGCCACGACACAGCGCACGCAGGACGGCGGCAACGGCCAGCTCTGGGGCTTTGGATAAGCAAGCAGAGTTCATGCCAGCAAGCAGGACAGGGGTGTTGGTTTAAGAGGCCAGGCAGGCCTGGTGACTGTCTAGAGGGCGGTGGTGGTGCACATACGCTTTTGCATGAGACAAAGGACCCGTCGCTGTGTATGTAGCCATGCATTGTGACAATTGGGTATGATTCGACCTTCCGGGTGGAAATGGATGTCACCCAGGGACGCAGCGGCCTGCTCCAGGCTCAGGGGCTGGCGCACCCGGATCCCGGCAGCACACACGCACCCCAAGGATCCCCGCCAGTACCGCCCCTAGAAGCTGCAGAGCAGCTTCGCTGACGGTGCTCCTGGTCCGCCGGCTCACAGCGGCGGCGCCAGCCTGAAGCGCAGCATGTCCAGGGCGCAGTCGAGCGGCGCCCAGGCTCCGTGGTACAGCAGGTCTAGGGCCGCCGGCTTGGTGGGCGCCATGGGGTGGGGCCTGCGTGGGTGTACACGAGGGCGCGCGTGATTTGCAGTGACTCGCTTATCGGCTGGTGTTGGTTGAGCAGTATGCAGGATACCCTGGGCACATACATGCCGTGTTGGGTGGACGACGGAGCAGTTGGAAACACCTTGCCACACACACGCCAAGAGCCCAGGGCCGCAAGTGCCACTTGGCGCAGTGGTGGGGGGGGGGAAACGCGGCTGGGGGTTAACTGGGAGGGTCGAGTCGACACATTAATGCCTCGCCTTTTTGGTGCCAATCGAACAAGAATGTTTTGTGCATGCAAGCAAGACTCATGCAAGTAACAGGCAGCGGTGTCGGGCGTTAACGTTGCAGCCCAAAACATGCTGGCTGTGCCCTCAGAGCAAGTCATCAGGCCCTCCGTGCCTGGTGGGCGCCACGCGCTTGGCCACCTCAAACCACTTCCCCAGCTGCATCTGCGCAACGGCAGCATGGGGCGTGGGCGCAGCGCCGGTGGGCGCCTTCGGATTGAGTGGCGCGCCAGGTCGACTGCACAGACTCTGAACTCGGGGAACTCGGAGTTCTGCTGACGGCCGGCGCGGCCGAGGGCATCGCCCCTTTAATCGGTCACTGCCGCCGTCCTCAGATGGTGCGTGCACTCACTGGAAGCCGCACCCACAAGCGAGCCGCCCCGCCCCCCTGCAGGCCCTGGTAGCCTAGCGGCCTCCACCCCTTGCAGATGTATGCTCGCAATCAGCAACCCCCCTCAATTCCATAAAATAGCGCCGTGCGCCCCAACTGTCCGTTTTTCTGGCCATTTTATCATCCGTTGAGCAGGAGTGCGCACCAGTGTGTCCTGTGTGACGCCCTCAGTCGCTGCAAACCTGGGCAGCAGGTCCTCCTCCTCCTCGCGCGCGTGCTCCACCAGCAGCTGCCCACACATGTGCCCGCCATTAACAAGGGGGGTCGGGAGAGGATGGGCGCGGGCGAGTTACAGTAT